TCCTCTTCCAGCCACAGTCCAAACACACAGATGTTCTAAAAGTGAGGGGTGCAGGACGCAGATTGATTTTCATTGATTAATGAGATTTGACGCCCCCTACCAGAAATAAAAATAACTGCAGCTCCTTCACAGAGGCTGGTGTGTGTGTGTGTGTGTGTGTGTGTGTGCATTAATCACTGAGTCTTTAATGAAGTTCATTAGAATACATTTATGTTTTACTGTGCTGTCAACTAAACTCCTCCTCCTCCTCCACAGCCCCCCCCCTCCCCCCGGGAATCTCACCCCTGGCGTCATCACACTGAGTAAACATCCGTCTGAGGACATTCATGGTGGGGGTGGGGGGGGGGTGAGATCACACAGAGGAGACTCCGGGGTCTCCTTGACCTGGATCTCCTGCTGCTCTTTACAGTCGGAAACACTATAAATATTTCAGGTCAAATAGAAAATGAAAGTTTCATCTTTTATTCATCAAAGGAGGAGCAGAGTGTGTGTGTGTGTGTGTGTGTGTGTGTGTGTCTAATGATTACAGCATGTAAATGTATCTAAACTGACTCGTCAGTGAGGAGCAGTGATATGAAGCCTGAGTTCTAATGTGTGATTTGGTTTGAAACCCATCTCAGTGACAAACACTGGCCACTGGAGGCAGCAGTGGACCAGCATCCTGACGTTCATGGATGAAACCAGCGGTGGTCGGTGAAGGACCATAGGCTGAACCAGCGACACCAACACTGGTGAGGAGCTCTTCTCCCATGTCTCTACGAGCTCTGCTTTGGTCCCTCACCTCCTTCTTGTCTCCTCCTCCTCTTTGTCTTTTATGCTAATGTATTTATAATTCACCAGCGGTGACTGTCGTCTTCACTTCCTGTAACCCTGAGAAAAATGACGGGCCGAAGAACAAATGGAACCCACAGCGCCCCCGCTGGTCTATGTGAGGGGGCTCACTTGAAATTCTGAATTCTCAAGTAAATTAAAAAAAAATTAAAAGTTAAAATTTGATTCTAATTTGACTAAGTTCGTCTGTCAAACTTCGTGACAAAATAAAAAATAAATATCACGGTGTTGAAAACAGACATTTTATTCCTGATGTTATGAACTGACGGATCTCCGACTCTGGACATCGCGTCTCTCTCCTTCTGTTTCGTCAACACGCAGGTCGTCAAATACAGAAAAAAGGGAGGAAAAACAAGAAAAAACCCTCCAGGAAACTCTGTGGGAAAACTTCCGGGTAACTGTGACGTCAGACGCCAACGCAGCCGCGTGTTTTAAAAAACGTCTACGTTCAAACGAGCTCACCTGTTTCAACATCGAACGGTTACGGCCTGACTCGTGATTAGTACTAGTCGACTTTGGTTTCTAATGCTGATCTTTATTGACTAGTCCCGTTATTAACGAAAACTGTGACCGTAAAGTAACAGTTTGAAACCAGTCCTCGATGTGGGCTCGTTCGACTGAGTGGAACGGGTTAGCCTCAGGTTAGCCTCAGGATAGCATCAGGTTGACTTCTGGCTGTGTTAGCCCGGTGCTAGTCCAGAGACGATAAGAAACTACAATGGACGATATGTTGTCCTACAAATTATACCTGGTAATCAATATTTAATCATTTTGTTTTTTATGCTTCGTGTCGGGGGGGGGGGGCATGCTAGTTTGTTGTTTCCGGTTTTTTTTTCTTAAATTAAGTTCCTCAGACGGACTCGTCGATGTTGCTCTCGGTGGTTCCAGTGTCTCGGACTGAACCCTCCTGTCCGGCCCCCCCGGGACCAGACGGTCGAACACGGAAATATATCGATATTTATTATTTTTGTTAGATGTCGTCGTGTTGCCCCCGTGTGGTTGGTGATAAACGGCAGGTTGTTGGTTCATATGATGGAACAGGTTTTTCTCACAGTGTTCAAACGCAGACTTTGAAGTTCTGGACTCACGGAGACCAGGTGGATCTGGTCCTACCTCCCTAAGACCCCCCCTCATCGAAACTGAAGTGAGTGAGGACTCACTTCACACACACACTCACACACACCTTGTGGGTGATTGCTGCTATGACACCTACTTGTGCTCTTGGATGTAATGTTTTGTTTTTTTTTTGTCCTTGTCTTTCAGGCTGATCGTCATGAAGATCTTCAACACAGTAGGAACGTCTTTTTTGTATTTTTCTTAAAAGTGGCCGCCGCGTCACCTTCGCTCAGTTTGACCGCCGAGCCAAACTCTCTGGGGCCGCTGTGCCTCTCTGCCGTTTGAGTCATTGTCTTCTTGGGACGTCGGTGTGGCCAAGCGTCCCTTTGGTCTTGTGTGGAGTGGGAGCCAATGACAGGACAGTTGATCAGGTGTAGGTTGTGTCTTAGACAAAAGAGCATTGAGGAACATTTAGGGTTCGGGTTGTTTATGTGTGCTAACCTCACCTTTAAGCCTTCCTGGAATTGAACCATGAACCCTTAGTCGTGCGTTTTCATCCCCACACTGTTAGGTGGCGTTCTTGGCCCCCTGTACTTTCCCAGCTGTGTGCTGGACCTTCGTCCCTGTCCTCATGGCCGCCGTGCCTTTGTTTTCTCAAACAAAACTGTTGCGTTAAAATGAGGCGTAGTGTCGACGGGTGAGTCTAACCGTCCGTCAGCCTCACGCCTCAAACCCGCGTCTGTAGGCAGTGTAGGCAGGTTAGGGTTAAATACCCCCCCTCCCCACCCCCCCAACTGTCTGTCCCCAGATTTGATCCAAATTCCTGATTTCCTAGAACCTAAACCACAATCCTCTGCTGGTTCGGACAACGACCGTCCTCTTCAGATTCTTCAGCCCCAAAGTCTGTCTCCACACTGACCTCCATCGGGTCCCTCAGGAGATCGTCTCCCTGACTTGTCCCCAAGTCTCCTCTGGGTCTGTGTGTGGTCTGTGGACGTCCGTCCCTGGTCTGGTCTCATCTTCTGAGGTGAACTTTTGCTGAGTCAGCGTGGTCTTTCTCTAACTTTGGTTGGATGTTCGTTGGACGTCCATGGAACGGACTTCTCTAAATGTTGGCTCCCGGTTGGTGAAATGGTTCAGTTGGCTCAACCGCAGGTCGTGGTCCAAATCCTAGCCGTAGCTTCTCCTAAACCTGGACTCTGTCAGGTTCTACGAGCCGGTTCTCCTCCACACAACAGAACAAGGTCCAACCGAGTCGACTCATGGAAGGACTTTGTCCTTCTCCTTCTTCTGAGTGTGTGGGAGGAGTTCTGGCCGTGGACCCTCACAGAGGTGTGTACCCTGGACGCAGTTTCCAGAACCAGACCTG